CCTGGGGCAGTCGGTTCCAGGTGTACTGAACACCCCTCCAGCTAAAAGCAAACTGAGGCCTGTAGGTACAGACGGGTATTTACCCCACTGCAGGAGACACAGATGCTTTCTTTAAGGGCAGTTGATTTTTAACATGAACTGTGTGTTTCAGGTTGGAATTGTTCAGTATGGACAGACTGTAGTTCATGAATTTTTCCTGAATACATACTCGACAACAGAAGATGTGATGGCTGCAGCCACGAGAATACGCCAGCGGGGTGGCACGCAAACTATGACAGCCCTGGGAATAGATACAGCAAGGTATGTTCACAAAATATTGTTCTGCATATAGCAGAAACAAACATAAACAGATATGGTGACAGTTCTGATTTTATAAATTAAAAATATGATGTGGCTGACATCTGACTTCATTTTAGCTAAGCAAACAAAATTTAGGAGGAGGGTGGATAAACAGACTCTATCCAGCATCTAACACAGTTGTATATGACACCCTGAAAAGGCATCTGTCTCTGGAATGGAGGAAGTAGGGAATGAGAAGAGACATGGAGCAAGGTTGTAGTCCTAAGCAAAGGGCTGACAATTTTTGATGTCCACACAGAGCACGTAGGAACTGTGAGTGTAGAGGAATGAAGGAAATTAAGTTTTTCAAAGGAAACAGGAAAAACTAGAAGTTTTTCTTCATTCTGAAGTTAACATTATAACAGGGTTTGAGCTCACACTTCTCAGAAAGCCTAGAAATTTTATATCCGAAGTCTTCAAAGCTTCTGGATCATTGGGAGATTAAAGATTTGTTGTAGCAGTAGCATTATTTAGAAATGCTTCCTTTATGAGTAAAATGAAACCTGGCTTTTGTAGAACAGACAGTAAATGCAAAATCTCTTACTTTCAAACCACACAATGTTATCCTGGTATCTTTCTTCTTTTCTGCTGTTTTTTTCTGGCATGACAGCATGACCTTATTCCATAAAAGATTGCATTTGCCCTTTCCAAGCAACCATTTAGTGAAATATGCAACATCTTTCTGATTAACTATTTGATTATCTGACCAAAGTTTTGTTGCTGTGTCTTAAATCCAATGCAATTCTTAAATATTCACCAGTAATGTTTTCCTTAGGTACAAGTAGAAGCTTGAGGGAGTCTGAACAAGTTCATGAAAGCAAAGCCAGTTGAGAATTGCCAAATACTCAGAAACCACATGTGGTTCAGAAAGTCCCTGTGCACCACAAACTGTTGCAGGCTTGTATATACAGAAACCATCAGCAAAAGCTTCCTCTGTTCTTGCAATCTTCCTATCCATAAACTTTTGGCCATCATCAGCATTAGATCTTGGTTTTCACTCATGTGGCCAGTCTTACAGTTCTGCGGTATTTTTCTAAGAAGAGGAAGCCCTGCTTCCTTCCCTCTCCTCCAGAGCCCTAATCCAACCTCACCTTTTCTGGTCCCCTCCAGAGACTGGGTGAACAGCTGCCCAAAACCTCAGTGCCCCTTTGCCCATCTGCCGCTGTAAAATTCAACCAGTTGCCCCCGCCTGCAACCCACTTCTGTGACATCCCCAACACCCAGTTTTGCTGTAGATGTGCAGAGGTGTGCTGGTAGCTGAATAGTTTGGCCACTTGAAGCACTGTAGGGTGGAAATAAGTGGGGGTTTTGTATGTGGGTTTTGGTGGGTGTTGGTGTGGGTGAGAGGGTGTTGGTTGGGTTTTTTTAAGCTACCAAAAGCTGTTTTAAGGTGCCAGAAGTTTATTTGGAGAGGGGAAGACTTCTTCACTATCCAGCATTGCATTTTCTGTTCTTGCTCTCGAATGAATAATGAATGAATACTTGTGAAACTCTTTGGCTGTGAACTGTCATGTAAGTTCCAATTGTTGTTGTTTGTATTTGTTCATGGTTGTCCTTTTCCTGCTTCTTAGTTACTATAAAGTCTTTTAGTTTATGGTTGACTGTGCAAATATGATGCATGTGCTAAATGCTGACATTGCCTTTCTCCAAATGCTTTATGCTCCCTTTAGGAATGAGGCTTTTACTGAGGCTCATGGCGCACGAAGAGGAGTACAAAAAGTAATGGTTATTGTGACTGATGGGGAATCACACGACAACTACAGATTAGAAGAAGTGATTGATAATTGTGAAGATGAAAACATTCAGAGATTTGCTATTGCTGTAAGTGAAATTTAATGGGAAAATTCAGAATCTTAAAAGCATGTTTCAACTTCCAAATGTAATTTCTGTTTAAAAAGTTCATTTCAGAGAATCGTTATGGAAATATAATTGTTTCAGAGAGTAAAAAAAGAAAGAAGCTGAAAAAAACATTAAACATTTGCTTTCTGATTTTCTAGCGTATAAGAAAAAGCAATCTATCTGTCTTCCTGGTATGACAGGTATGTGTGCATGTGAAGAAAAAGGAGAAAGAGTTTGAGGAGCAATATAAAATCGAGTCTTTTTTGTTAAGAGCAATATTGATCAGAGTGGATTAGTTCAAATCCTCTGAGCAATTTCTATAGACACGTTACCTACTTTAAAAAAAAAAAGCAAATGTAAACCATTAACAAAAACCAGGTTTATTATGGTTGTTCTGTGTGCTGGCATTCTGAAGTTGTCATTTTCATGTTGAGCTAACTTAGTAGCTGAATCAGAGGATAAACATGATGGAGATTTCTCTCTATATCGAGAAATATGGAAACATTAATGATCAAGCTGGTGTGAACTCTCCACTGTATTTGTGTATTCTATACTCAGATCATCTGTTTTCTCTTGTTAATTCTGAAGGTGCGTTGGACTGCTGCTTCTCTGTTCCTATCTCTCTTTGTTTTGTTACAATGAGGTCGTATGGAACCATACAATTTGAAGAAAGATGTTATCTTTAATTTAGAGAAAGACATAAACCAAAAGTTGAATCCAGCAACACACAAATTTTCATTGGTTTCCTTCATAAAGCTAGAGATATTAAAGTCATCCTTGAAGCTGCAATAATTTTTAGCAATAAAATCTCTGTCTAGAACCAAATTTGAATTGCTCCAGTGTCCAGGAATGCTGTAACACAGCAGTTTGTTTTTTATTTCCCTCTCAAAGCAAGTCAAGTGTATAGAGCACTTTTTTTCCTATGAAAAATACTTGTCAGTCTGGGAATTGGAGAAGTGAGTCATTCTGTTCTGAAGGCATCCTGAGTTTTTATACAGTGGTGTTAAAACTGCAGACCAAATATAAGTCTTGTACTGTGATGGAGTTGTTAACACTGAAAGCAAGTGATTTTGTTATATGTATTTATAGGGCAAATCTGCACACAAGAAAGAATTATCCTATGCCTAATTAACATGTCATTAATTGCTTATATACCGTGTTAAGATGAGAACTGGTGGTACCTGTGCAGAAGCCAGTGCAATTGTGTATTCTGATTTGCACATTGTTGTGTTGTTTTTTTCTAAATTAAGGCCTAGTTGAACAAATCATAGAATCATAGAATAAATCATTTGAATTTTGTGAAGAAGGGAAAAAAGTTGAGGATAGCAGACATTACACCACACAGTTACTTTGTTTGGTATTGTTGATATTTTCAGAAAAACAACAGAGCCCTCATACAGTTCTGTTCTCATTGGAAAAGAATGGTTTCAAATCAATTTGAGGAGGTTTTAACAGAACAAATTAAGGTTAGATATGATTTCCCAGTATTCTCTGACAACCTGCCTCAAAGGTATCTTTTAAAACAGGTTATAAAATGTATCCTTGACTACTATTTTTTTTTTTAATTCTCTGTAGATTCTTGGCAGCTACAGCAGAGGAAATTTAAGTACTGAGAAATTTGTAGAGGAAATAAAATCAATAGCCAGTAAGCCTACTGAAAAGCATTTCTTCAATGTCTCAGATGAATTAGCTCTTGTAACTATTGTTGAAGCACTTGGAGAGAGAATATTTGCCCTGGAAGGTATGACATTATTTAAAATTTTACTTCATGCATGCATTACAACTGAAGCAAATGGAAGACCACCTGCTTTTATCTTCCTTTGCAATGTATTGTGCTGCATAAAATGTATTATGCATGTATTTTTTTCATGCTGATCATAAAAATATTTTACATAGACATCAGAAACATAGGTAATGATGTGAAATATATTCAGATGGGTTAGAGCCTATGGAGACAATAGCCTAAAAGGGTAAGTAACCATAAGTATTTTAGGTGGGGTAAACATGCAGTTGCCTTCCCTTAGTTAAAAAAGCATTTCCAGACTATATCCTGATTACCCCATGATTATGTGTTCATCTGCCTATACCTTTAGGTTCTTTTTTTGGTTAGTTATTAATTACAACATATTACTTTGCTATACAAGTTAACTTGGACTTGCTGCATAGAGTTGACAAGATATATTTTTCCTATGGAAATGTTCGTGATACTCAGATTTTAGCACAGAAAAGTATTCTCTCATAATGTCATCTTACATTCTCTATCCAAATTAGGCAACACTGTCCAGTTCACTGTTTATTTCAAGCACGCTACTGGTAACACAAGACTGAGTTTATTAGTTATAAATTATACTGGCCAACTCTGAAGGGATTTGTTTTATACAAAGAAAACATCTATCTATTTGGACTTATTTTTTTCAACATCTCAACTTTCCAAGTAGCAGGAATAGTGTAGTTTCCAGCTGGAGCAAAAGATAATGTTGACTTGAATGTCAAGCAATAATACAAATGTGAGAGAGTATTTTAATTTTTTTTAAATTGGAACTATATTTCTCAGACATATTTAGGGGTTTTTTTTTTTAGTGTACCATTTAGATTGATCAAATATTACTATTTTCAGCTGATTATTACTAAATATTTTTTCCAGTTCATACGTTCTACTCTTTTTACTCTCTTGAAGATTTTGTTTCCTCACTTTTGAAACAAATTAATTTGAGGAGAATTTAATCTCTCTAACGCCCAAAGTTTAGCCTCCTTAAGCTCACTGAGTACTTCAAAGTTCATTGAATAGGGGTCTCTTTTGTTAAGTCCCTTTTCATTGGGAAGAATGTACTTTCAGTGGAAAAATAGTTGTTCAACCAGAAATTGAAAACTTAGTCTTCAATTTGTGCTTTGTATATCTAGAAAAGTGAGAAAAATCATTGTCTTTCATTACTAGCATAAAATCTGTTGATTACACCTATTAAATGTAATGGATATAGAATAAAAGGTTAATCAATGCTAGTCATGATAACAGATGACGGACCTAACATGACTGAGTTTCTGGACATCTGTGTACTCAAACTCAAGGTTTCATGCCATAGCTCAACCCTTTGAACAACTAGATGCCACTGGAAGAGACGGTCTCATTTTGTCACACTCCACCTTATCCCTTTTAGCAATCAGTAACCATTAGGTAGTGCCTGTCTGTCACATGAAACCCCAGCCCCCAGACAGTGGTGTAAATTGTGCTGGCTTCAACTCTGCTGATGGGGAATGCTGTATATCATAAGCTCTAACCTGTCCATTGACTTTAGTGATTAATCATAAGAAAAAATTACAAAACATTTGAATATTAAACAAGTTCTGTAGCTTAATAAAATATCGAAACAAATGTAGTTATGCTGACATTGGTGAAACTGATTAAATTGTAGAAATGTTATCTGGTTATATGATAGTCAGCTCTTGCGATGACTAATCCTCATCATTATTATGTCCTCCAGTATTTTGGTACTTCAACCATATTGTACGTCTTTAAGTATCAACAAGTTCTGCAGTAGTCCTTGAATTCATCTTTAATTTTTTGCAGAAGTAACAAATATCTACTTCTCCGATATTATTACTTTTTGTTTAACATAAACCTATTATCAATTGTTAGGATATTTGTGCCTTGATATATTTGCCTTATTTTCAATTTTTATTTTATATAGACTTGGCTGTATTACAAAAAATATATATTTGAAACAAAAAATGTGGAACATTCTTTTTATCCACACTGTAAGAGACAAGCTACGTAATCTCACCACTCCCAGAAGGCTTCTCGGTTTCCAGATTTTCAGTAGGAACTCGGAGTCTGTGCTGAGATTTCTGTATAAGACACCTGTGATACGAGATAAGAAATATCACCTCCTCCACCTGTGAAAATCCCAGAAATCACGTAATCTGGCTGCAAGGGAAGTCAGAATGGAAACTGGAAATGGGATCTTAGCTTTATGTCAAAACATAGCAAGGTTGAGTTGCTCCAATGGGTTGGTAAGGCTGGAGCTAGAAGATGCTGACTAAATCAGTTTCTGTTGATGCTTCAGGAATAGCTTCCTGTCCCTCCCATGGCGTTTCAGGAGCTATTCTAGACTGGCAACTGTGTCCATGGATCCATTATTGTGGCAGGAGAGAAAAGCAGATTAATTCTGTCCCACCCAGCTTTCTGGTGACAGTCCAGCGTATTGGATGTGTGCAATGTAGGAAAGATTAATTAACCCTATACACTGTAGCTGAATTAACTTCTGTGCATAATATGGAGGAGCTTTGATTCTTGAAATACTGTATCTGAATCTGTTCAAATTCTCAATCTAAATAGCCTCCTGGTAGTATAATAGTACATTTGATTTTTTTCTTGGATTTCCTGTTTTCTTTCTGGTTTTGGCCTTTAAAAAAATGCAAAGGAAAACTGAGAGAGAGTTGAAAAATCAAATCCAACAAAAACCCACACTTGACAGCCAGTGGTTTTTTACACATAATCTTTTTCATATGCCTGTGTGTCTCATGGCATGGACTTCTTGTTTTAACACCAGTTTTATGTTTTATCCAAACCATAGGCAGGCACAAATGTTTTTTCACAGAACATCCTTTGTAGGATGCTTGGCCGTTTGAAACTCAATGGAAAGTCAGACTGGGAGCCATTATCTAAGCAGCATTCAGAGCTGCACACACCAACAGTACCAGCATTGTCCTCTGCCTCAGCCTGTGAATGTCCAGTCTTTCTCAGCTCATTAAGGAGCATCCTTTACTGCATGAAAATATTGTTTATCAGCAAGCGGGCAACTTAGAGTTTTATGCTTAAAAAGGACCGTAATTTTTTCAGACTTAGCAAAGCAGCTACATGTTGTGAAACATGATGGCCTGTGTTTGTGTGTCAAACGTTTTGTGTTTGAGATCATGTCTCTTTCCTATTCCTGGACATAAATCCCAACAATTAGCAAAGACATTATGTCCCAGGGAGCAATCTCTGTGGTTTAGTTGCTGAGTGTCAAAAGTTCAGTATTATTTAATAATCCAGATGCCTGAAATTCATACAGCCACAGCTTGTTCTGCCTCAGTTTCATTCACACAGTTGGAGGTTTGCCTCGGCACTAAGATGGTAGCAAATTGTGAACTCTTCCTGGACAAGCATCAGAGCAGATTTCATAGTTCCCCTCTACTGCCCATTACTGCATCTTGCTCTCAAGGAGGAATCAGTATGCAGACTATAGTTACCTTACTTGTGCTTAAGGTGGCAAAATATTCCTTGAGTATTGCTTTTAAGTAGAGGAAGACGCAGACCTTTCTCTTCCCTGATGATATTTCAATTGTACCTTGGAGCAAAGCAGCCCATCAGAGTTTAATAACTGGTATATGACTACCTGACAAGATACTGAAACTAGTACTAAATCACCTGATACCTTTTATATTCAAAGTCACTTAAGAAAACCAGGAAAATTTTCGTGTAACTTTCTGGGCAGGATTATAGTTCCCAAGCCCTTCCCTGAGGCTTATGAATCTTGGACAGCTGAGATTTTCCTATGTTGTTTTTTGTAAAGGTTCATACAAACATCAAGTGTTTTTCATTTAAAGTTCTACCAGCTGCCTATGAATTTTTAGTTGCTTGAACACAAGGCCAGGGTTACATGGCTGGTGTTTCATTGTTCGCTTAGCTCAAGTGGAAAATGGCTTAACCGTATTAATCAAACATTCCAAACATATTTACCATCAGCTTGAGGTCAAATCTGGTCAGTTTTAGCCCAGAAATATTTCTTGGACAAGTTCTGAGACATGATCTTAAAATGGAAACTCTCATATTTAATGGTAGCATTTAATACAGCTCTTAATTTCTGTATTTATTACAAAAATCTATGGCAAAATATATTCACTGAATATTCTAGTTAATTATGCTATCCTTTACTATCATATGAACATTTTCATTACACTATTCAGATAATTTTTCAGATGGAAAATAATTTATTTTTGAAACATTTTTTTTTTCTGTTTAATAGCAACAACAGACCAGCAGGCAGCCTCATTTGAAATGGAAATGTCTCAAGCTGGTTTCAGTGCTCATTATTCTCAGGTAAACAAACTGTTTGAAGATAGAAGTTCTTTTACAAGGTAGATTTTTCTTGGTGATGGCATGAATTTGGAATGAGTATTTCAGAATTCTTTGTACAGTCCTGTTTGCTGTTGGAAGTTTCCCATAATCCAGGGATTTTTTTTTGTAAAAATGTATGTAAAGAATTGTTATAAACAATGAAAGCTTAAAAGAATAAGTACCTTCTTCACACGAACTCAAAATCTAATGCTCCCATAGCACTTTCTGTCAGGAGAATAGTCTATAATATGTTAAGAAGGACAGAGAAAGACTTTACCAGGGCCTGTAGTGACAGAACAAGAGGCAACGTTTTTAAACTGAAAGAGGGTAGATTTAGATTGGATATAAGGAAGAGATTTTTTACAGTGAGGGTGGTGAGACACTGGAACAGTTTGCCCAGATAAGTGGTGGATGTCCCCTCCCTGGAAGCATTCAAGGCCAGGTTGGATGGGGCTCTGAGCAACCTGATCTAATGCAAGATGTCCCTGCCCATGGCTGGGGCATTGGAATAGATGATCTTCAAAGACCTCTTCCAATCCAAACCCTTCCATGGTCCTATGAACTATAAAACTGTTCTCTCTAAATATTAATGTATAAATTGATATTGCATTGTATTGGTGAAACTGAGACAGAAGATATATAAAAAGGATATTTCTGTCATGGATATGATCTGCATTATTAGTAATACAACATATTATTACTTCTGTTAACACATTGAACACCTCAGTTCTAGGGTAAATATTTATTAAACTAGGATGCAAAAATCCCTGGGAATTTGTATTAGCAGAAAATCACTCCCTACCTATTTTATTTATTCTTGAAAAATCAAAACCTATCCATTGTGATGATCTGCTCAGTGTATACAAATGAAATAAAAATGTAACATGAGATCAAAAGAACTGGGAAGACTTAAGCTTTAAAGATAGGGAAAAAGTAGTGACAGTGGAAAAGAACACAATAGGAGAGTAACTGAACTGAACAAACACCGAGCAATCCAAGACAAACTGACACGCACAGCAAAACCTTCAGTATGGCTTCAGTATGGCTTCAGTATGGCTCAGCATATCACTGGTAAAAAAGAGAATAAAAGACCTTCAGTATGCTTTAACATAAATACTTTGTTGCAGAAGTACTCTGTGTTCATTTTTACTCTCTGTACTATGTTACATATGACTCTTCAAATGGTGTATCACACCTCAGAAACAAGTATTACCCTGATAGGGAGTGTGAGGATTATTTATAAGATTATCTATTTGGTAGAGCATATTCTGGAAGTTCACGAACAACTGACCTGCTGTCATCAGAACCTCACTTCAGAAATGGGTCTTCAATCCTAGGTGCATTGACACACTCAGGGTCTCTGGCGTCTGTCTTATCTAGAAGGGTACGTTCATGCCTTTAGGCAAGAAAGGTCAGCAAACCATTTCTCATTGACAAAAGGCTCTTGCACATATACAAGACTCGCAGATTCAACAGAGAAAGGTCCCAGTTTCTGAAAGTTTGTCTGGGGGGTGCATTTCAGCGTTGTATTCTCTGATTAGCTTTGCTAAATCCCTCTTGTCTTTCTCTTTGGCCTGGAGTGGTGGTCTGAAGTTGTAGGGGCTGTGTTTCATTCTGCTGCTTTTCCTGAATGGCCCTTTTTTTTTTCCTCAAGTTGGGTGTATTTTTAACAAAAAATGGGAGACACTATGATTGTAGGGGCCATTCTATAATAGGAAAAGCAGGGCTAATTATGTAAGTACACAGGAAACATTACCCAAATGTGAGCATCATGATCAATGGATGTCTAAAGATGGTTCACAGAGGGAACAGGCTTTTTGTTTTTCTCTGCATAAGGACTGGATCATGCTTGGAGCAGTTGGAGCATATGACTGGAACGGCACAGTGCTCATGGTGAAGGACAGTGGTATTTCAATGCCAACTAATGGCACTTTTCGTGACAGGCTTTCAGAAAAAAATGAACCCCTCGCAGCCTATTTAGGTAAGAGAAATAGCCCATCTTACAATGCTTTTTGATGAATGCTACAAGACCTCTCTCAAATCTCATTCACAAAGAGTATCTTACAGAATATTATCTTATATGCTAGGAGCCTCGGAAAATTTATAACGTATGGACATTTCTACTGTATCATTTTCTTGTTCTTTTTTAAAAAAATTACAACTTCTGCAATCAAAAGACTAGTCCAAACACTTGCAGACCTAAGTATATCTAGACTTTCCCCAACAGAGATGTCTAATATGTTGAGGGAAGATTTCATAGATTCCTCTAGTATTCTCAAGTTTTTCTATGCCTTGATAGTTAAAAAGTTTTATACAATATTCAGTCTAAATCTTTGCTTAAAATTAAGCTAATTTCTGTCACTCAATAGACAAGAACAACACTTTACCACTATCTTTTTTATAATAATGTTTTGCATAGTGGCAGGCTATTGTTTTCTTCTCACTGTTTTCTACAAAAAGCATCAGTGGCCTTGCTCTCTCCTCTAGGTCTTGCTTTCTACGCCTCATCATTCTGTTTACTCTGTTATCTCATTTAAGCCACATCTTCACTGATCAAGAGTCAACGCTAGAATAATGTCTTTTTTTTACCCCTAAGCACACTGTTTGTCTTCTTTGCAGAATGCCATTAGGTATTTTTTTTATATCTTAAATTTGGTAAAGTCTTTTTAAATTTAGATCCTATCCCGCGTAATACTTGCAACCGTGCCACAGTTGTGATTCATCTGCAAATTTTTTAATTCTTCCTTCACCCAGGTTGTTAAATGGTTATTATTATTAAACGGAGCTAGGTTCAAAATGCCCCAGAATCACATTTGGAAGACTCCGTCAGTTTGACAGTGAGGCGGTGACAACTGTTCTTTGAAAGCAGCTTTTCAACCAGCTATTCACAAGTTATTTCATCAGTACCACCGTATCACACACTGTGTGGGAATAGCAAAGTGAACATGACTTACCAGCATGTGAATAGGTTTAATAACACAGTGGTGCTCATGACTCTGAGACTGTAGGCAAATACACATCCAGCCCTTTTAATTAACTCTGCTATTATTCTCTAGCATAAGTAGGGCTAAACATCTAGTTGTAGAATAAGCCTTAAAAAGGCTCTGAATCACAGGAAGTATTTCTGATGCATTCTGTGTGTGCTTCATCTTGACTTCTTTTCTGCTTCCTAGGATATACTGTGAATTCAGCATTGACACCTGGAGGCGTACTGTATGTAGCAGGACAGCCACGATACAATCACACTGGCCAAGTTATCATTTATAAAATGGAAGGAAGAGAGGTACAAGTACTTCAGAGGTTAAATGGAGAACAAGTAAGTATGCATTCATGTTTAACATACAAGAGGAATATGGCATGAGAAATAGAAATAATGATTTCAAATGAGAACTCTGTATCAGAAAAGCAAATGAAGCTGGGATTTGTAAGCAATATCAGAAGGAAAGGTTAGGTAGATGCTCTGGTATAATAAGTAATGGAAAGTGAACTCTACAGTAGTTGGAGACCCTTTGAAATTTTCTTTTTGAGGGTTAAACCTTCAGCTGTGTCAAAGTGGTGTAGCCATCTCTGTACTTGCAATTTTCTCTGTTTATTGAGTGGGAGGGGTATGCCACTGGCAGGAAAAGGGTGTGACAAGAAGGGTTCTGTGCGAGAGCATCAGCTGGGATAGCATGAAATATTGAATAGCTGCTTGTTATATTGAGTAGCAGCTCACTGAGAGCTGTTCTGCAGGAAAAAAAACATGTAATCACATAATTAAAGATGGTAGTATGATGTTATGCACATAAGGTTGAAAGAACTGCCTACTGAGGTCCCTCCAGGCTGCAGTACAAAGCTTCTTTCAGGAGAATTCAGGTTACCTAATTTTCGCCTATAGCTGATGTCTGCTACTCAGCTACCCAATCCTTTTAGAGTCAATGAAGGAAGGTAGGCATTTTTAAGGTTTGAGGGATCTGGCCTCTCAAAAAGATGCATCTTGCACTAGAAGAGACTGCTTCTCAAGTTGAGTGTAAAGGAAATGCTGTGTGTCTAGCTTAGCTGTGAAGTGAATGTTTCCTACACCTTGTACCCAGTCTATGAATGTATCTAGCTCTTTGCATACATCTTGTTCCTCTGCATTTAGTGGCAACTTGGGAATTTTGGAGACTGCCTGCACTGTGCTGTCTCCGAGGTTTTGTCCACCATCCTATCTTTTTCCCCTGGCAAGCCCAAGACCATTGATTTTGCTCCTTCTATGTATTATTGTTGGGACTGAAGAGAAAACTAGCTTCCCCAAGACACTTCTGTTCAAATGCTGTCTTAAGAGGTCCTGCTCCCCTTAGCAGGTAGAAGGCACCATTTGTGCCTTTCAAACTCAGGAAGGTTGAAAGTTGAATGGACCATTCTTAAATAAAAAAATCTGACAACAAACCCTAAAACAGAAAAAGCTTCAAAGGCAAACAGACCAAAAAGATCTTCTAGGTAGCAAAGAAAATTTCTGCCTAATGGTTAACATTTGGCATTGTTGTAAGCAATGGTAAAACAGGTGTCTGAATAGGAAACATTGCATGATGTTGCTGCCTCTGTCTCTGATTTATACCTTGTATTCTCCTGCAGATTGGGTCATATTTTGGGGGTGTTATTACAACAGTCGACATCGATAGGGACTCCTTTACAGACCTTCTTCTTGTTGGAGCACCAATGTATATGGGAACTGAGAAAGAGGAGCAAGGAAAAGTATATGTTTATGGTCTGAACAAGGTAAGCGTGATGTTTATTGACCAGGAACAGAACATGCTCTTTACTGTCCTCATATCCTTATTTTAAAGAAATATGATAATTGAGCTGGGGAAGATCTGTTGAAAACAGAGAAACGTGATTTTGACAATTGACAGTATAATACAGATTATTTTTGGAAACTTTCTTCTCAAACTCTTGTTTTCTCACCTTTTTTCCTAACGGACTATATTATATAGATAAGCACTATACCCTGTAAGCTGCAATATGGCATAGATGCAAATTTATAGGATTAATTTTCTATCACATTTTCTTTTTGCTTTCATGGATTGGGGAACAATAGGGGTCATCCATCCTAAAAGCGTGTGCTCCAGTATCCTTGTGACTTGCTTACCACCCTAGACCTAAACCCCATACATCCAAGAGCTTTTAAACATGTTACAACTAGATTGAGGAATATACCAGCTACTCCTCAACTTCTTAATTTGATGTCTCTCCTTCCAATGTCTATGCATACTTTTTCTTCTTTTTTTCTTCTTTTAGTCCTGTACCGTTGTGTAACATTATAACAGTTATCAAAGTATGTCCTAGCAATGGCGGTCTCCTAAAATACGATTGCAAGAAAAGGACCTAAAGAGACTAGAACTGTTTGGCAAGGAACTCTTCCAGTTTCTACATGCATTTTGTTAACAACAAATTGCTGGTGAATAAGGTTGGCGAGAAAACAAGAATTCCATGTCCTCCATTGATGTGAGGGTTTGACATTTGTTTTTCCTGTGCTTCCTTTTATCCATCTCCAAATAAAGGAGATGCAGCAACTGCTTGCTGCTGCTAATCTCTAACATGGAACTCATGGGGCCAATCTCTTGGAAAGATCAGTTACATACCATACTGTATGTGTGGTTTTGATCTAGGATGCACACTGAACCAGAAGAATATATATGTTAGGCCGTGGAGTACATGTCTACTGAGGACAGGATTCAGTCTATGTAAAAGAAATGCTGTCTTTTGTTCTGGAATAACAGTATTGCCATCTGTGTTTAATCAGAAACTTGGCTTACTTCTCAGATTAAGAGAATGCCTTCAGAAGAACTCTTTACACTATCTTAAGAATGAATTGGTTTACTTACAGTAACTTCCAAATATTGTTATGATGCTATGCTTTCCTGTGAACCTCTAACGTCAAGAAATATGCAGAAGCATCTAGATATAGAAAGAGAGGGAGCAAGAATGCCTTTCCCACCCACTGCTCAGAAAGAAAATTTGAATTATAGTTACAGAATCACAGTTTCTACAGTGCACTCAATCACTAGGAATAGGATGTAATTGTTTCATTTAATTCATCAGTTTGTCTTCTGGACAGGAGCTCTTAAAAGCCTGCATTGCTAAAACGTTGATGGAAATCCACAAACTCTAAATCTGTTCTTTCACAGACAAAGTTTGAATATCAGATGAGTCTTGAACCTACAAAGCAAACATGCTGTTCACCGTTAAAACAGGACACCTGCAAAGTTCTTAAGAACGAGCCTTGCGGTGCACGCTTTGGGACTGCAATTGCTGCAGTGAAGGATCTCAACCTTGATGGATATAATGACATTGTAATAGGTTCTCCCTTAGAGGATGATCATCGGGGAGCTGTTTATATTTATCATGGCCGTGGCAACACAATCAGTAAAAAATATTCGCAGGTATGAAGTAAAACTTTACAGATTGGCAGCCACTGTAAGTGTATGTAGCACAAATCCTTTTTTCCTGTGTCTTGCCAACATAGAATCAAACTATGACATCTTCTTTCATGACAGCTTCTGTTTTAAAATGCTCTGCGTTTAAACTCAGTCTGATTTAGCTGAATTTGACTCTAATAATATTAGAAAATATATTTGCATGTTTTTATTAGAAACCTTCTGGAATGTTCTGTACAGCCAGAAAAGTAGATATTTTGCAATTCTGAAAATTTATAGTGTGTTCATCAACATGGTAACCCTTTTAGGAGTATTGTAATGAAAATTTCATATTTTTAAAGAGTCTAAAAGCCAACTAACTGCCAACAAATGCGTCTTGAACATTCTTATAAAATTCTTCAATATGTACTTCATAAACCTCTTAATGCTTTTAACAGCGTATTGCATCAGGTGGAGATGGGGAAAAAGTGAAGTTTTTTGGCCAGTCTGTGCACGGAGAAATGGATTTAAATGATGATGGGCTGATTGATGTCACCATTGGAGGCCTTGGCGGGGCTGCCCTCTTCTGGTACGGATACTCACAGCAGCTGTCAGGCCAGCAACCAACCATTTTTCTCGGGATGCCAACATAAGTTGCATGCACTACAGTTTGGAGTGTTGTGAGAATACTAGTTTCATCTCATGCTTTGACACTGGCTGTGAATCTTCATATTTTCATGTCTGTCTGGACAACGAATATAAAACTTAATGGATAATATATAGTAATAAAGTAATAAATATAGGAATGTTTTAGAAACCTTGTTATCCTAGTATGAAGACCTTGTCCTCCTAGACCATCTTCAAAATAGAAACTGGTTCCACTTGTGGCACTAAGTAAAACAGGAAGAAACCCTAAGTGTTCTCTTTTAAGCAATATATTGTGTATTATCTTATTAGCAATATCAAGGACAGGTTCAAATATAAAGGGGTCACTAAGAAAACCTATTTGACTTCCTAATAAGAAAACTTGAGTTTGACTCCCTACAGAAAATCTTTGAAAAATTTAATTAAACTTTCTGGCTAGCTGAATTCATTCTCTTTACAAAAGAGCATGACTCACATGGCATAATGAGCAATATATTCTTTTAAGGGACAGGAGAAAAATACCAGTAAGAGAAATAAGCAAGGTAACGTGAGCTAGATGATCTCTAACGGTCCCTTCCAACCCAAAGCATTCTATGATTCTATGATTTCTAAAGCATAACTGAAACCATTTGTCTCTCTGGTAAGGCAACTGCTAAGCCAGTTCCTTGCTTTCCCTTTCCTGCTGTTCCACCCAACTCACCTGCTAGGTGATGAAGTTTGTCAGGTCTTGCTACCATCCTCAAGCTGCCAGCTTCTCCTCACCTTCATCTGATAGTTTGTGTTTCTAAAACCTCCATGTGTGAATGCAATGACATGCCCCTTCACTGCATCGTTTAGATCACAAACCTGAAGAAATCTCTTTTGCCAGCTAAATTTTCTGCTGTTTTAGTACACCAGCATACTCCATCTCAAGGCCAGAAGGGAACTGATACAGAGCAGACAGAGAGGCAGGAATGACTTGCAGGGACAGGGGTGAAGAGGGGTTAAAGTGAAGCAAATTGGTAGTGAATCTCAGCCTGTTTATCTACCCACAGCCTAAGAGATGGCACACTACCCTCCAGCTTGTGTATAATATGTTCATCTGTGGATGCCCTCAAGGATGGGTCTGGGCCTTCAGTCTCTTTTAAAATGGAACTGGCTGTATAGGGTTGCTTAAATACTTTTGAAAATATTTCCTTTCATCTGGTATCTGTTCTGAAACAAGAATAGCACTGTGGAGAAACCCTGTGACCATTTGCTCCCTAATTTGTTGTTTACTGGTTCTATGTATGGAAGGTATAGTCATTTATTTGTCTAAAGCATCACATATGTGTATTTTAATGTTGAATTTACACATTTAGTAAGTTCATTATTAAGTCAAAAAAAGTTGCTACTATTATTTTCAAGGCGTTTTCTCTCTGTGTTTTTGTTAAGGTCTCGTGATGTGGCTGAAGTAAATGTTTCCATGCAATTTACACCCAAAAGCATCAATATCCAGCAGCAAAATTGTCAGATAAATAAAAGAAACACAATATGCATAAATGCCACAATTTGTTTTAAGACCAGACTAAAATCAAAGGAAGATACATTTGAATCCAGTAAGTAAATAAGCACTAAACTATGAAATCTTTATGCTCTAAAACTGCTATGCTCACATTTGTTTATTTCTCAAAAAATGGAACGCAACTCTTCTGAACTCACTATTCCAAGTGCATTTAAAATCCTGGTGGAAAAGAGAATGTGTAGAGGCAAATTGGTTCATAATATTGATCTCACCTTCCTTTGCAGGTCTGCAGTATTGGATTACTCTTGACTCACAGAGACAAATATCTCGCAGCTTGTTCACAGAAAACCATGAGAGGAAAATGCAAAAAAATATAACTGTCAGAGGGTCAGAATGTATTAAGCATAACTTCTACATGTTGGCAAGTAAATCATTTAAAGTGTTTTTCTCATGTTGATATTATAATAACCCAGATATATCCCATTAATTGTAAATTGGGACAACAACATCTGCATCCAGAATTAATCTTAAGAAGTGCACATAAAATTGTTTACTATTTAGGGTTTATATATTTGTATATGTATATAGATATAAACTATTCATTTATATGTAAAGTCTGTTTACCTTCGTCTTTTTGTTTGAGTCTGTCTTAAGAAAGAGCATAACACACTTAGTGGAACCAAGGAGCTATCATGGTTATTAGTTTAGGTGCATTTAAAACTCAGCAGGAGTATGTGAGCTGGAAGTCTAGTTTGCATATTGGTGCAATTCCCCCTTGTAAAATATAGTAAAAAAACTTGCAATTTAGGTTTGGGATAGAGAGTACTTATTCACTGCGAAACAGAAATGTCATTAGCAACTGTGAATATGAAGTTGCCCAGAATTGTAACTGATGTGCAGAGTGAATGGAGGTGTATATTATGAGCTACCCATATTCATGGTGTTTAGTGACTTCACAGTTGTATCATAATTCAAAACTAACGATAAATGATGTCCAGAATTTGCCTGAATATGCAATATATCTAACAGCAGGCCTCAGTTTGACTTCACACAAGGTGATACCGCTGCTGTTTCTCACTGATCTTTTAAGCACAACCAAAAGAGGAAAGTCTACAAGTTGACTGTTCTGAGACATTCTTAAATGAAACTGTGTTGGATATGCTCAGGCTATGTGACATTTTTATGATAAGATGAGATGAGATAAGCAAACACATTAGTATATATTTATAAGGATTGGCTTGCACATTAAATGCTTATCATCAATTGCAAGCATTCAAATGCTTCTTTAGCAAGGATGGCAATAGTGTGACTGAAAAATATTTTACCTCAGCATTGTCTGGTTTTTTTAACCTCCTTAGATATTAAAGTGAATGTCCATAACAGCAGTTTTGTTTTCTTTATGTTCTAGGATAAGCCTGACTTTCAGGACTCTGTAAAGGTTTTGCTGGAGTTCAATTTTTCTGATCCAGAGAGTGGACCTGTTCTTGATAGCAACCTGCCAAATTCAGTATCTGAATATGTAAGTCAGCAAGATTCTGTATTAATAATCAAAGTATATAAGTAAAATTCATAGCCCACACAAGAGCTCAAAGTATTGTCCACAAATTGGCTAAAGAGGTTGTTGACCTTGTCCAGGAGATGTTTCCTCTAGATGAGTCTTCACGAGTGAAAAGCTTGATTCAATGTGCTTGGGAACCAGCCTGGGGTTTTAAAGCTGTCCAGAGTTAACTGAAAATAGAAGAAAGTGCAAGCAATTTTATTGTCATTTTTTACAAAGATAGAGCAGAGGAATGTTAGTCATATACTTTGATGGTGCTTGGCATCATTCATACTTCTACTATTGCCTCTTTTTCTAATCTGGATGATTCATTTAGAAGGGAATGCGTAAAAAGGTTGTGTTTCACCTGTGCATTTTACAGGATAGTGACTTGTTTAACTGATTAATATTAGGAAAGACTTCTTTGATTGTCAAACAGAAGACCTTATATAAAACTAAATAATGAATTAAAATGCAAATATTTAATTTTAATAATAAATGCAATAAAATTGAGAATAAAAATACTATTGTTGCAGATTCCTTTCACAAAAGATTGTGGAGCCAAAAATAAATGCATTTCAGATCTTGTTCTGAATGTAAAAGCAAGCATAGCTGGAGACAGGTAACTACACTGGGTTTCTTGTATCACTTGATATCCGTACAAAATGTCTATGTAAATTATAAGTTCTGTAGTCTAATAAGATAATGCTATGGCATAATTTCCAAATCAGAAACAATATAGTCTGGACACTGAAAGAAGTTCCTCTTTATGTTAAAAACAGATTCAAAAGTTAAGATGTCCAACATTCTTACTTTACTTTACAGCTCTTCTCCATTCATTGTAAAGTCACGCAATGATAAGTTCACCATTCAGCTCGCTGTGAAGAACAAAAAAGACAGTGCCTATAATACCAGAGTTTTGGTTCAGTATTCTCCAAATATTATTTTTGCTGGCATTGAGGTAGGAATTTTTCACACTGTCACATTTATCATAACCTATATTGCTAGAGAGATCTGAGGAAGCCTTTTTATTAAGCCTGATTTTCACTGCTCTGGCATCATCTCAGTTGATTGGAAGAGATTCCTTGGGAGTGCTGTCCTCGCTTATCCCTCTAAAAGAGTGTATTTTGACCTGAGTGGGCTCTTGCCTAGCCTCTGTTAACCGCAGATGCAAGTTTCACAATGACACTTAGACAGTAAGTGCCTGCATCTTAGATGAATGTCAGCACCGTGAACCATCTGTACATTTGTAGAGCTAGAAATGCTTTGTTATTCATCAGTACAGCTCCTGAGCCTCTAGAATTCTTCTTTTGCACATGTATAGAAAAAGCACTCTCTTGGAAGGGCAGCATAGATCAGTGCCTGCCTCATCCCTGTGTCAGACAGGATTTCCAAAGTAGCTTTTTTTCTGCCTGCCTCATTAGATATGCTACGAATTCACCTCAGTCAGGTGGGAAACATTAGAAGTTTGTTTCCAATCAACAGTCATTGTGATGCACATTAGGAGAAGTCAGGGATCCATTAGGAGAAGTCAGGGATCCATAGCACTATTGCTGAACCTGTGGCAATAATTTATGGAGTATTAATGTCACTTTTATTTCCAAGTTAGGAACACATTTACAAAACTACATGTAAAAGCTGTGTACTTACACACATGTTGATCTGGTAGACCCTGTGACTTACTTGCATGATGTCCAGTTTGTACATAATTGCTGATGTTCCAAACTCTTTCACTGGGAGGGAGTAATGGCTATTAATTGATGTAGATGTCCATAGGTGGAAATTGTTTTGCAGAAGTTGTGGCTTCCTGTTTTTTTTCCAGTTCATTTAAGGCTTTGACTCCTAGGATGTTTTGACAATGAAAAGCAGCAACAGTATATGTGTTCAACAGACCCTTGATGCTTAGTCAAAATTTAAAAAGAGTTTGCACAAGGTCATGATTTAACTTTCTTTTTCCTTTAGGATATACAGAAAGATAGCTGTGAATCTAATCACAACATCACCTGTAAAGTGGGATATCCGTTTCTAAAACCTGCCGAAGAGGTAAAAACTTCCCCTGCATGCAAGTTCTCCTTGTTCTGTGTTGTTCTAAGGCCGGGGCAGTCCTTATCACCTCTGAATTTCCTTTCTCTTGTGTTCACCCCGAAACCTGTCCATGCATGTGTCCCAAGCTATCCTTGATACAAACTGCACTGAGCCAGATAGGAAAACATCAGGTCTTCAGTACCTGGGCAGTCAGCTGTGGTACGTGAGGAGGTAAAAGGTGCATATTGCCATCCATGACACTGTCAGAAGACAAGTGATACACCTGGCCAGAAGGGTCTGTCTCCAGATGTATAGGATATTGGTGTGGATGTACTGGTAAGACATTAGATACTGTGGCGTTCCACAGGTTGGAGCCTATGACTTTAGTTATTTTGTATATAAAATTTAATCAGATGATTGAAAAGAGAATGAGCTGGTATGTGGAAATGCTAAGCTGGATCTGCCAAAGCCAGATCTTAAAATCATGGATATGTGATAAGTCTGTATGTCCTGCTGGAATAGAGAGGGAGCTTTAGCTAAACTTAGCCTTTGAAAATATGCATCTAAGCCTCACTTAAATAGTTCTGATACTGAATTGGGAAATATCAAATTGCATTCAAATAAGAGCAGCTGTCTTTCCTGGCAGTTTCTTGTCTGTTCCTCTGTCATATCAGGTCTGTCTTCCAGATGCATAACAGAGGGAGGATCAGGAGACATGTCCTCTTACATTGCCTGCCACATAAACATTCCAGCTTGTATCTTGGACTTGTAGGAATTAAGTCAGCTGTTACTTTATTGCAGCCAAAGAAGCATACTACCCAATGCCACTGCCCACAATGTTCCATTCCCAGCTTTACTGGATTTTTCGCATTTTCCTTTCATGCTTTGATTGTTAGTTTGTCTGTAGCTATATATCCTTAAATTTAGAAGTTTCATACTCTCCTTTGCATTCAGAAAACAATTAATCTCTGATTCACTGATAAGCATCCCTAATACGTTCCTCTTTAAAGCCTCTTCATGGCTCTCTATTTTTTTAATATGAAGAAATATCTAAGACAAATTTCTATGGATCACTTTGTAATAAAGATTTGTACACATTAAAGGAAAAATAGAAGTTTGAGCTGAAAAATACTGCACAGCAACAAATAGTAAAACTTGTGCTTCATATAAAATTACCCTTCAGTGTCAGGATATGAAGAGGGACATGTTTGGGACAGTGTTCCCTCATGTTATGTAGTGCCAAATTGTGATAGATGTGCCCTAGTTATAACGACCAGGGGATTTTTGTGATACCTAGTAGTTATTTATTTACATTGTAAACATTTCTGTTTGGTATTCTAGGTGTTTTACTAAGTTTCAGCAGCCTTCTATAGGCAGCTCCTCTCCACTGGAATTGCCAGGCTTTGAAGCCAGGCTTTGAAGCTTTGTTTCTTCCTCCATGGAGAAGAAAATGGGTTTGACAAATTGCTTGCAAGATCAGTTGGTTTCTATTAAGAATTACTTAGCTATGTATTTTTAATATACTATATAATGTTTTACTGAGGCCTCTCAGTTCTGAAAATTTGAGGCTTCTGTTTAATAAGTGATATCTGTTAGATTTCCTTCTTGGTTGGGACAAATTCAAAAAAGTGGATTCATTCATAGAAAAGCGTTAAAATGTGAATAAGGATTCCACAGATAAAAGTAGAAAAATTTTGCTCATTTTTCATCAGATCAAACCTGATTAGTGTGCTTTTATTTCTTTTTTCTTCTTTTTCCTTTTAAAATGTGTAATGTATTTCTCCAAACAGATTTCCTTCAAAATATCATTCCAATTCAATGCATCATATCTCCTGGAAAATGCTACTGTTCATGTATATGCAACAAGGTTAGTTGCAATCATGGCTTGTTTACCTTCTGATCTTTTTTTTTTTTTTTTCTTAGAAAGCTCTACAGCTTTGTGTTGCACAGTAAAACAAGGATGACTTTTCTGAACTCAGAAGTGGTTAAGCAATCTGTAGAGCTGGCAGCTTTATGGATGTACTCAGTCCAGCAGTGGACTGAGTCGACTAAATAGATAGTTTTTTGTCTTTAGAGCCTGAGAGTCACAAATGAGTCATAATTTCCAGTAGTTTTACCTTCAGAAAAGGTTTATTCTTTTACAAAATCACTGCATACTTTAGCATGAATCACAGTTTATGCCAGACAAAAAGGTCTGGCCTTCAAAGAGAAAGAGCATTGCGGAAGTTGTCTATGATAAACTAAAGGAATGCACTTGCCCTCAGTGTTTGCTCTCCCTGCAAAATACAGGGATGGTGTGAGAGTAGTGGCCCTTACTTGGTCCATTTTCATTCAGTCAGCTGCAGTCTGTACTCTTAAAGATGCATCTCTGAGCTGGGACTTGTACAGGACTTAACTTTTTAGTTACTGGAGATAGTCTTTCAAATTTATTTTTAGGAGATAGTAATTAACTGGAAATGGATAGTGTGTTTTCATACACAGAGCTGCAAGTATTTTAGTTTCTTAAGATCCCTTCCCACCTAGTAGTCGTGTTGCATGTGCAGATCCTATCACAGTCTGATCTCAGTGGCATATGTTGTTTTATTTCAGTGACAGTGAAGAACCACCTGAGACCTTAAGTGACAACAGAGGACATGCTACAATTCCAGTAAAATATGATGTAGGATTAATATTTGTAAGGTATTGATGCTTCTCTGTACCTCTATTTGCTAGCACAGTAAAGCTAGCACAGGTCTTCAAAGAGAATATAGTATTTTTTGTTGTTGAGCTGTGCTCAGTTAGTATCTACAAATGCTAGGGTCATGAACAGAAAGCACAGGCTTCATTGAAAAGAGCAGTTACATGAAATAATGGAGCAGTTACTGTCCCTATCTTGCTGTAGCTCCATTTTACCTATTTAAATTTGACCTGCAGTTTTGCAAGTACAACAGCAGCTTTTGCTGATTTTTGTACTTTGCTCTATTCATTCAAAGGCATTTTGGGTACCTACGAAAGCAAATACTTCGAGCTTCCTGATGGCCATGAGTTTGTAGCCCTATAATATTACATGGTGTGGTGTTTGATTTCCAGCTTCAAAAATTAGCGTTAATTTTAGATTCTCAGAGGAGACATAAACTTTAATGCGGGTCTTGTAGTACACTTTATTTTAAAAATAGCTGGAATTCAGCTAAATGTCATCCCTGAAAAGCATTGTAAATATTATCAGTAGAGTACATTGCATGGCGTGCAAGTGTAAATAATTAAGTCAAATTCATTTTAGACGTATTTCATGGTTCAAATCCAGCCTTTGTTTGTCCCATAGGGAATAAGGTTGAATTTACAACATGCTAAGTTTGTTCTCTTTTTACTTGGTTCTGTACTGGACCCTGCCTGTTTCACATAGCAATACTCAGGATAAGGGACTGCACAGCTAGAATAAGAACAGCAAAATCAGGCCCTGATATATTATTGTTGGGAACAATATTTGCTTATTTTGTAGTTTTATATGAACAAAATATTTAAAATGTACATAATAAAAAGTGAGCACTACTCAGAAAATGGATGAGTTCAGTGGAAGTAGCAGTGTACTAGTCCTGGAGGATTCATGAAATAATGAAAAGACCTATATTATTAACTGTTAGAGTTTTTATGAAGCTTTTGTGCTTATTGTTTTTTTTTTTCTTTAAATCCACAGTGTTTTCAAAGAGCACCATATTATAATAGCAGCAAATGATACCATCCCTACTGCTATTAACACAACAGAGCAGATTGGGGATGAAGTTACTCTGCATTATAGGGTAAGAAACAATTAAAACTGCATGATATAGGTACTGGCTTCATCTTTTTTCATTTTGTTTGAATCTCTTAATGTGAAAGCCTATTAGTTAAGTAGCAGCTATGCAAAATGTTAAACCTTCTACATGCGTATTTTGTGTTGAACACTATTTTTTTTCTTGCTTGCCTTGGAATAAGGTGAGTCAGAGGTTCTCAGAGTGGTCCATCTCTTGCGGAGTAGCTCAGGTGGGTTTTAGAGCTGCTGCCATCATCAGAAGGAAGAGACCATGCCCTAGTAAATGAGAATTTGACCTATGTTCATTGCAGTTTAGAACAGATGTTTCCAAAATCCAGTCAGCTTTGAAATAGGCAAATGCCATGCTCCAAGAATGTTACCTTCCTAATGGAATGAATGCTGCAAACTGAAATCACTTGGAAAAGGTATTTGGTGGACTAGAAGCCCAGCCTTAAGTTGCAGTAGGACTGAATTTAGTTATCTTGAGAGCATCCCTGTTTCCCAGTGTCAAATCCAAAGCTGAACAAGGGTCCCATATACAAAGGATAAAAGTCTCTGAATCGACTTTCTCTCTGTAAAAAATGGGCCATGGGAAAGTTCTTTCTCTCACTAAATAGCAATGGCAAAGGTATTTTTATATTTTTATAGCCCACCTACCGTGTTTTACTCAGCTACTTTTTTTAGCCTAAAAGTTCAAATCCAATAATCTCGAAGATTTTTGTGGATGTTTAAGACATTATTCATCTCATTTCAAAATCTTTGCTTTCTGAATATAAAAGCTGGTGGACTGCAGAGCATACCATTTATGATCTTGTAAGCACAATTCATCTCTGCAAGCAGCTTATCACAAATGAGTAGTTAGAAGAAAAATGTTAAACAGGTTCTTGAGTTTTTATTAAGTTTGTTCACTTCAGAGACAGGATCACCAATTCCCCTGTCAGCAATTCCACCTAGGTATTTTCTCCATCCTCAGCCACAGCAAGCATGTTCAGAAGAAGCAGCAGCTTACAGATATGTCTTGTGATCTTCCCAGGGAAAACAGGTGAAAGGAGCCAATGAGCAGGAGAGCTGTTGCCTAAGCAACATTTTGGGGACTTTAACAACTGAAATGAAATGACCTTAGATAGAAGTCCCAGATGATAAGAGGATGCAGTAAACAAGATAACAAGAAGGACTTTATGTCCCTTTTCAGCCTGTTCATTTGTTTTCCTTTAATAGAGCATTGTATTACCAAAGACCACAGAAGAATGTGTCTGCTAATTCACAACAGGCTGTTCTTAGGGAAAAAGTAAGAGTCCATCACACCACTTTTTGTATAACTGAGTGTAGAAACTTAAAAAAACACAGAAGAAAAGAAAAACACAGGAAAGAAAAAAAACTCACAACCAAATACCAACAAAATAAGTCAGGTACTAATCAAAACATTTTTCTTTTTTTTTTATAGATTGAAAAAGGTGAACACTTTCCAATGCCAGACCTTACACTGCAGATCTTATTTCCCAATGTAACAGCAGCTAAGAACACTCTTCTCTACCTTACTGCATTGTCATATTCCCAAGTAAGCTAGGAATTTGTATTTTTATGATTAATTTAAATTTGAAATTTTTGTTGTAAGGAACTGCAAAATGCAAACAGTTGGGATCATAATCATAATCAGTTGGGATTATAAATAATAATCATAAACAGTTGGGATCATAATCATAAGCCTTGCTTCAAGGTAGATATTGCTTTTAGTCTATAAGGCAAGATGCTGGTGTTCTAAGAGTATGTACAAATGTGCATAGGAAGACACATAAATTTTCTTAAAAGAAAAAGAGCAAATTTAAAATGGTGTTGAAAAATAACTGGACTATAACAAGGTTAATTTGATATATTGCCAAGTGATGAGAGGTCCAGACTGAGATATGAGTGACAGGAGTTTCTTAGTTTTGCCTACTGAGCCTCAGATTATCTCCATTGCCAGCAGTGTTTATTGCAAATGCTGTAGTCCTGCTGTGTACATCTAGAGCTCAATCTCCTGTTCAGTGCTCTTCTTTCTGTTATTGAAATTAGCCTTTCTGAATGTCTACTCTCCAGCACTAGCAGTCATCTGGCTTTTTCTTTCTCTGGGGCACTGAGACATCTTGAAGGGGATGGTAGATCATGTCTTTTAAAGGCTCTTCACTGCAGCCTTCATTTGAGTTTTTCCACTTCACGTCTCCAGAGCAGCTGGAGGAGATCACAGTTCCAGCAAATCCCATGATTCCAGATCTGTAGGTATTAAAACTAGAGCTATATCAATAACTGGATAGCTGAAGAACCCAAATATCATTAAGTGGTGACATAAACCTCTTTTTTTTTTTTTTTTTTTTAATCTTTCCCTCAGAGAGAGACACACGTGTGCACCTCTCTCCAAATATTTCACTTAGTTTTGAGGTGTTGCACCACTGAAAAATGAACCAAATGGTCTAAATGAAAGTTCGAGGTTCACTTTAAAACAAAAATATCCGAAACCCCCAAAAATTTCATGTTTAGAATACAAAGAAATTGTGTCTGTTCTTAAATTCCTTCCCCCATTATTTTCATTCCTAGGCAACCGCCACATTTGATCCAAGTTTGCACATAAACTCAACAAATCTGTGCTTTTTCTGTGGGTATAATTCATCTACCACTAGCTACACTGTAGTGATAGTAGTGTGCCAAAGTGCACTGCGGGGGATTTGCAATCCTCTTCATGCTAGCAGTCTGAAAGTAAGGTCATACCTGACTGAAAAAAACAGATTTCCCCACACTGAAGACACCAAAGGATTTCCCAGCTGCCTTTGAAGGAGCCATGAAGGTCTAACAGTGCTCCAGTACCCGCTCCCCCTCCCTGGGTGCTGCAATGCAGTCTCCTGAATCCTGCACTTAACTTGCCTGTCTGCTTGCTAAGGCAGAACCTCTGTGGATTCCCATGCAAAAGCAATTTATCTCTTTCAATAGCCAACTTTTGCTGGTTCATGTAGCGGTCATCTTGCAGGAAGCTCTTGTTTGCTTCTACAGATATTTAAGTAGCTGGATAGAGTTTAGGTTCAATTATCTCATAAAAAGCTCATACGTTGTTTGAATAATTATGCTTCAATACCTACACCATCTGAACTTCCTATTCTGCACTCTTGCAATGTGCCGTTTTATTGCATTTAGCAGTTAGTAAATATCATTGATGTTATTAAATATTAAATATTAAATATTATTGATAAAATGGCTTGTTTCCAGAGAAATTTTTGTAATAGACTGCATATTCAGACAATAAGAATAATATTTGTATTTCTGCTAACAGAATGCCATCTGCCAAACCAGTTACCCTGTAGATCCCTTAAAGATCAGCACTGGTAAACCATTTGTGTTGCCAAAAATAAAAGAACCTACAAAGGATACAATTATGGTAAGCCTACATACAGTATATATATTCATGCCAGATATTAACCCAGATCTTTGAGCTGAGTACTTCTGCAATAAATATATAAAAGCTTCTCTCAAACTGTATCCTATGGAAACTCACTTTGTCTTAATAGCCTGAAAAGCCATCCTTATGTAGACTAGCTACAAAACTGTATGTGGAACTGAATTTGGGGTGGGTTTTTTTTTTTAAATTTAGCAAATGTGTAAATAACAGTACCACATTTGACAGCTGAGTAAATCTTCACCTTCTACATTCCCATTGTAATTAATAAATAGTAATATTTTAAAAGCTTCTCATCACCCCTGCAACTTTTTTAGACATCCAGTTGAAAATACTTTCAAATGCTAGTACTCTGATCTGACGGATTTTCCATGTAACTGGTAGAAATGTCACTGATGATCCCATTCGGAAAGGAGTAGCCTCTCACATTTAAATGGAAGGGTTGCAAAGTAATTTTGCTGACATAGTTATGTTGGCATGTCAGGGGGAAAACTGTCCATACTACTTCCTCAGTGTAGAGGTACAAGTTGAGTTTCTGGTGCTACTTAAACCATTCCCAGAGAAGAGTATTTTGTAATGCTTATCATAGTCCTTCACAGAGGTGATAAAGGTCTAGGCTAAGCAAATATTTCCAAAGTGTTGAACATAATTCTGCTGCCCTCCCAGCTAGCAAGTGGTACTGGGAAGTAAAGATACTTAAATTTTCACACACACATCCTGCCCTGCTTGAAAGATTCAGGTGTCCCATGATTTGAAAGGATCAAGAAACACTGCAGAGAAGCCATAGCTGTGTTGGCAGAAAAACACTTGCTGTTACAGGCTGTGCATGCTTTAGGAACTCTACTGATGCCTTTTGCTGCATACCTACAGTAAAAAAGCTTCCTCAAGGCTAAGCAAGCCTGCAAAAGTCTGAGTCTATTCTACCACAGCATGAATATCTCAACTTGTTTTATATACTGCAGTGTCTTTTTTATATAAAAAGCCCCAGTAATTAATATCAGTTTAGTATTGGTGTCATAGCAAGTCTATGATCTGTAGATATAGTAGCTTACATGGTTTTATTTTAGTAATGTTAAAAGTCTCCCTATTAATTCATGCTGGTGCCTTTTAAACAGGACTGTGATACATACAGCTGTGCATCGATTAATTGTGCCCTGGTCCCATCTGACATATATGTAGTGAATGTTTCATTAAGAGTATGGAAACCTACCATCATAAAAGTAAGTAAATCCCATTTGTATTCAGAATACTCACGGGTTTGAGAAACTTAAGCCAATGTTTCTAATGTCTATTAAAATTACGCCTTTCATTTTCTTAAGTTTCCACAGTCCCTTAGTATTTGAAATCGTTTCTCTTGGTATTTTAACATTACCTCAAAACTAAGTTATATGCATTTTATTATCCTTAAAGTAAGTACTCAGAACTTAGCAGGAATTTCAAAACATGGTAAGAAGACACCCCTTACTTATTCTGTATTGATGGTCCTTTTTTTAATAACTGCTTATGCATTCACAAATTCTAATTCAGCAGATGTAAGGAGGGGTACATAGAAGCATATCATTTTTAAATAAGTTTTAATCTGGAAAGATTCCTCAAGTCTGGAAAGGATTTTTTAGTCAGGAAGAGCAGAGGAGAGGGAGTCCACCTCAGAGCACAGCTCAGTGTTACAGGCTACAACAATGACCAGGCTGTGGTCTGTTTTGCTCAGCTGATAAATTTCTGATACTGAGTTCCTGTTTTTTGTCTCTGTTTTTCTCTGGAAAATAACAGGACAGGAGGGGAGATACAGTAGAATTTTAGAAAGCCCAAATCCATCTCTGTGGCCCAAGTAGTATTCCAGGATTAATCTCTGCTCTCTACTCTTTTAAAGCTGTATTGCTGTCTTCTAAACAGTGATGTGTGTGCTGAAGGTGACACACATGAGCAGCTTTGCTGACTTTTCACATTTTTCAGCATCTCCCAAAACTTTAGCATTAAGTTTTGCTTTCACCCTTCTTATTTCTACAAAGCTTTCTACTTCAAAATACCTAATTATAAACCATAGCCATTTCTCTCTTCTTCCAGGCAGGTATTCACAGCTTAACTCTTGTTGTGAAAGCATTACTTAGGAGTGAGAACTCATCACTAATTTTGAGAAACGACCATCAAAAACTGGAGGTAAGAACATGCTAATTCATCGATTTACTTTTCATAGGATTTATTGTGCTACTGAATCATTCGTTTTCATTCATTACTAGTGAACTGTTTGTTACCTGTTGTAACATATTATATTATTATATTACTCTAAATAAAAGTGATTTCATATTACAGTAGAAATGCCAGAATTAGTCAGATGATGATACCAAAATCCCATTACCCTCCAATGTACCTGCATGAGAAGAAGTACTGTCTGAAGTATATCTGCCTGCTGTAGTATAAATGCTTCCTACATCTATGTAAATTGAAAGCATAATTAAAATTCTTTTAATGAATCAATAGTATTTTAAAAATTGTCCTGGGTCATTTAGAAGCAATCTTACTCTGTACATTGTATTTTCGTTATCATTTCTTATTTATTATTTCTTTCCACTTCATTACCCACAATATATATTTGAAACAAGATCTTTTCTTTTTCAGAAGTTCCCTTTTCTCTTAGATAAGAGTAAGTTTCTTAGATAACAAAGTATATAACATTATAGTAGTGGTGTCAGGTATAAAGAGAAATGTCTTTAATTTTCTTAGAGTTGTTATTTATCCTTTAGTACTCTTTATTCCAAGATGTGTATGGTTAATGTACTGCTTTTCTGTGATAACTTGTACATGCAGGGGCTTATTTACTACAATGTACATTTTTAAGCAAAAGTCTTATTATATGTTATTATTGTTAATACCCCCACAATTAAGAGCAAAGTAATATTCAGTGTGAATTATATCTTGTGCAAAGTATTTTTGGAAATACAAACATCACAGGTCAACTCTTAGCTGGTTTTGTATCCAGGCATTTCTTTTAAGTGATAGATTAAAATTCGACCCCAGAGTGAAAACACAGCTGAGAGGCTTGCATATAATGAGAGCTGCCTTTACAAACCAAGGAACTTCAGAATCAACTTTTTTTGAGACATGATTTCAAGTTCAATATTTAGTATTCAGCTCTTCAATGCTTTTTGAACTATAAAGTCGTGTCTCTAATAAATTCTTTTTAAGTTTGCAGACGACACCAAACTGGGTGGGAGTGTCGATC